CAAAAGAACGCTGGAGACGGCATTTCGTTCTTCCTGTTTGGCATGTCCGATTTCTTCTCTTATGTACGAGGAAAGAATTAGTATGCCTTCCTGCATCTCGTTTCAAGCCCCCTTACGCCACTTTCTTTCCGTTCTGCGACCACTCATGTTGCAAACCAACAGCCACAGCGCGAGATGGCTATCGCGTCACTTGCAACGCGGCAAAGCCAAATTTGTGAAGTGCGGAGTTGCTCAACATGTACTGGAGAAAGTCGCTCAGCGCTGGAGCGCACCAAACATTAGAAATAGATTGTTTACGATCTACTCCTGGGATTCTGGAACGCTACTTTCTAGCAATTTTTGCAAAAAATAATCTCAGCACTTTCAAGGGATACTACAACCAAATTTCGACACTTATTTCTCGATCTATTTGTGTTCAAGATTGGTGTGTCTGATTTCCACATCATACACACCAATCTTTCGTTGAAAAAGACGCGAAAAGGAATTTTAAAACGAATTAAACGACTAGCAAAGAGCACCTGGTGGATGTCGCTAACGCCTCGTTTGTAATGCCCGCCTAGGAACCTTGACAGGTAGTGAGAGTAACTGTCTCGTCTCCGGCCACGAAGAGAGAAGAGCTGAAAGAGGAACTCCCCTCTACCCTAGACTCCCAGAAGTCCCTATAGTCCCCAGTGGCGTCACTAGGGGCAGCGGCACCCGGGGCGGTGGCCCGCCGCAACACCATCCCCCCCGCTCGTTTTCGGAATCTCCGCTCATCTTCAGTGCCTGTCAAAGCTATGCAAGCGTGCCTTTGCCATTTTCAAAAAGGTTAGAAAGAGACGACTAGTGTCGGTGCTGGGTAACATAGCCGACAAGCTTGCAATGGCACGCGCTGCCCACACGAGCGACAGGCGCATGGCGGCCCAAAGATCCTAGTATGACGTCACGACTGGTCGAAGGTTTTCGTGTTTTCTCAAGTTTGAAATACATCTTCGGGGAAAACAAACGTGATATTCAGATTCACGGGATAAAAATACACTCTAACTCCTTTTTTTCAAAAAGTGTTTCAGGTTCTCTTTAAGAAAGTGATACCGTCATCATTGGGGCTATCGAGGTTGTTGAGTCACGCCCCTTTCGCTTCCCGTGGCATTGGGCAAGGCGACCCCACCTGGCATGCGGACACCATCTAATCCGCTTTTCTTCGCACTGCAGGTTGGTAAAAACCCTTCCTTTGGTCGATTTATAAAAAGTTATTGGTGCCTAGCGGTGTTGCCCTGCTCGAAAGCGTTTTGTGCTATCGTCGACTGCTTTGATGGTTTGTGTATGCTGGTGTAGCTTTTAAGCAGCGATGTTCAATTAAATCATGGTCCCATAGATGAGGATGTGAAGGCACTTCTCAATGGACAAAAAGAAATGCTTGAAAAGATTGGGATGGTCAACCAAACGCTTGACGATTACATGGCTCGAACTCTCTTGCCAGGTGTAGTGCACAACAATGTGAAAGAACAGTTGAAACAAAATCGGTTTGGCATCGCATGCTAAGATAGATGACGTTAAATCGCAGTAGGCAGAACAACGTCATTATCTATGGATTGAAAGAAGACAGCAATAAGACGACAGCCTCATTGCAACAGCATGTCGTCAATGAAGTGTTCCAAGCCAAGATGGGTGTAAAAATCACAATTCTTCAGAGGATTCATCACTTGGTAAGGAGAGGCGGCAATTCAACCCGGCCAGTAATATTGCGTCTTTTTGACCAAGATGAGAAAACTGAGCTTTTTAGGAACGCTCGTAAACTTAAAGATACTGGCTTGTCACTACGTGACGACCATTCGCAGGATGTACGCAGTAAGCGTAAGCACTTACGGGACCATGCGAAAGTAGAAAGGGAGCCAGGCGACCACTCGGTTAAACTTGTATGCGATAAACTATACACAGATGGCAAGTCATATACATGGGGTTCAGAACTTCAGGAAGTGGTACAAGTTAAATGATCCTAATGTACCCCCAAATCAAGGACAGTTTGTGAAACCGTTGTACTTGTTGTAAATTGCCGGAGTGTTAGAAATAAAGTGGGCGAGTTGGCTGGCCTAATCAGTTCAATATGTGCTGATGTCGTCATCAGACGGAGTCTTGGCTCGACGCAACGATAATGGACAATTAAGTACTTCTTTGTTCTTTCAATGTGTACGGTCATGAAAGAATGACGCACGGTGGCAGAGTTTTTATCTTAGCGAGGGATTCATTAAATAGCGGCGAACTTTGTGTTGACAGCAACTCAGCTGATTCTGTTTGGTGCCGTGTCATACAGTCTGATGGTTCCAGATTTGTGGTTGGCTCCTTTTATCGTCCACCAGCTTCTGATTTCAGTGTTATTCGGCAGCTGCGCAAGATTGCTTGTTCTTTTTCTGCCGAGTGTATTCTTCTTGGAGGCGATTTTAATTTACCGGATGCCACATAGAGTGATAGTAGATCTGTTTCAGGCTCTAATAGCGGTATATACTCAGAGATAAAAACCATGTCAAATACACTTGGCTTTTCTCAATATGTTGCCCAGCCGACACGCGGTTCTAACCTTCGTGATTTGTTGTTTTGCAACTCCCGATGTTGTGTATGCGTCATACCTGACATCAGTGATCATTGTGCCGTTGTTGCCAATTTGGCCACAACTACTAATCCAGTCAAAATTAACGAGTCTAGGAAAGTCTTCTTTTTTGACAAAGGGGATTATGCGAAGATCTCAATGAATCTTGAGAACAGTCTTGTCTTTTGAATGTATTGCAGATGACATAAGAGTTAATCATTTGTGGCTAACGTTTAAGGAAAGAATTCTTACTCTCATGGATGCTTATGTACCTCGTACATTAAGCAGTAAACTGAAAAAGAGGGAGGAACCATGGATTATGTGAGCTAATTTGCATGATACATAGACGACGGAGAACCTTTACAAGGTACTGCAAAAATAAATCTGAGGATAACTTTTGTAAGCTGCGGGACTTAACGTCACCATATAAGAAAAAATTGAGAGAATGCCAGAGGACGTTCTTTCAAGGTTTAACTTTAGACCTGCAAAGTAACAACAAGAAAAAGTTTTGGAAATTTATGAAACGGTGTGGTAAAGGTAAGCTTAGGCCCCCCAGTCAAAAGCAGCATGGAGGGTTTGTAGTAACAAATGATTATGATAAAGCTACATTATTTATTGATTTCCTTTAATAAGTATTCCTTCCCGATGAAACTGTTTCCCTACAGATCGTTAGCTGCGCTGCGCAAAAAAAAAAAAAAAAAAAGAAGAAAAAAAGAAAAGCTCTTAAAAAGCTCCTTTTTGTTTTCTCTTCGTTCCGTTTTTTTTTTTTTTTTGCTGTTTTTCGCAAGTTGTTTTGTTCGCTTAGAGCGCTTCTCCGCTTCTCTTTTTTACCTCCTTGCGCGCGGCGGCAGCGCGCGAACCCTAGTCCAGATTGAGCTGTGCAAAAAAAAAAAAAGCTCCTCTCCATGTTTTTTTTTTTTTTCTTGCTTCCGTTGGATCTTTTGAATTTTTTAACGCCTTTTGCAAGGCGTTTTGTTCGCCCACCTACCCATGCATTCGCGACCTCGCTGCACCAGGGATAGAAAAGTGTGATCATTTCGCGCGCGTGGTGGGAGGGGGTCAAAATTTTGACGTCCGAGTTGGGGGTGCATTTATTACGCGAGTGAAAAAAAAAGTCGAAATTTTGACAGCCGACTTGGGGGGTGCGTTCATTACGCGAGTGCGTTCATTGTGCGAGTAAATACGGTATAGCTCTGGACATGAAAATAAAAAATAATTTCATTGTTTTCAGATTAAATTTGAATATCAAAGCTATTTATGGCTCAGGGATAGAGCACCAAAGCAACCTAAACTGCTCTGGAAGTGAATATGCCAGCAATCTGAAGAGCTTTTCAAAGGGCCAAGGAACTCATTACCAGTTCTTTTAATGGCTTCAAAGAAAAAAATCAAAAGTAACGATTAAAAGAAAAAGGACTGGCAGCGACCTTTTTCTCTGAAGTCTTAGAATGCATGAAATGCAATGTTTAAGAATCAACTGTATACATCTGTTAATAAAAGATTAAACGCTCCTTTCGGGGCGTTTACTTTCTTCTTATATTTTTAACTGATTTCTCCGCTAAAGTTAAATGATGCCCAAATTCCGGGACATTAGGTCCCCATTTCTTTATCGTCCGACTGCATTCTTTCCATCATGTTGGTGAAATGAATGCAGTCAATATATCGATCGCCACAAGGATGGTAAAATAGTTTGACATTGCTAATATTAGATATGTAAACTGGAGCCAAGTACAAGAGGAACATGATTGGTCCCAGCTTGCCTTTCAAAAGTGAGAATTTGTTTAGGCTCAAGCCTAGCAAATTTACACGCAAATCAAATACCAAAGCTCTTCAGTTTCTGTACCTCTCAGAACTGAGGAATTTGCTTCGGGTGGAACCTACTAAATTTATATGCAAACTGAGTAACAAAGTATATTTTGATCAATGCGCCTTTAAAGAACACGCACAAAATAAAAAACATTTTTTTTTAAACAGCCTAGATACAAAAAGAATGTGAGAAAAGGAATTTCATGGCTTGAAAGGAATTTGTAGTTGGCACTTGCGGGAGCCAGTGGAGAAGTGCCTGCTATGGTCCCGTGGTGCTCTTTCTTCGTTGGGACTCTAAAAGTGCTTATGAACCTTTGAATTGCAACAAAAAAAAACAAAGATGAAGAATAGAGCCCAAAGGAAGCTCCTGAAAGAGCACCACGTAACAGAGCTGTGCGCCGGTCAGAAATTGACAAGGGACTTTGTGGCGGTGCACAGGTCTAATACGTGACCAGCGGCGGCTCTTGTGGGCGCCAACTACAAATTCCTTTTGCGTCCTAAGCATACTTCTAAATATTAATTTTTTCCTCGCAAAATTTGTTTCATGACATTTCTTTTCCATCTAGGCTGTATAAAAAAACATGTGTCCTCTAAGAGATTTGCTCCAGAGGGCCAAGACAGAGTTCCCTCCCACCTCCTTGATTCGACCCAGGAGGCATTCCACCTGCTGCGGACTAGAAGCTGGAGTCTCCGGCAGCAATTGCTTCAAGCCTGAAAGAGAAGGAAACACTTTGTATTCGGGCAACTTGCCATTTCAAATTGTTGAGAAAAAATTTATTTTTCATCAATTATGAGGTTTTCCGTTTTAGAAACTAATTATACAGCCTTACACTAAATTTGATAACCATATGCCAAATAGTAACATTGATACAAAATAGTTTCAACAGAGTGTGAGGCAGTAACAAAGTAAAGGAGTTCAATGTTTGAATGCATTTTTCTCAGTTCCGCTTTTTGCTGCAAATTTTGTACGAAGGAATCTTTTGTTCGAAGGTAAAATTATTCTGATACCACAATCAAGATGTTTCTGAACTGAAATTTACTGGGGAATCGGGCTATCTACTTTATATTAAATTGAAGTGTTCATTGTTAGGGTCTAGGGGTTTACTCTACATAAATTCCCTCCACATGAACTATCTTCCAGCCGTTATCCTTCTTGTCTCCAACCTGGCGCACACTCCGCTGTCCCATCGCATTGTCCCCCGTGAGCAACAATGTCATTGATGTGCTACTCACTGGCAGGGCGTGAACTCCATGCCGAGCACGGTGTGTGGCACGCAAGCGCCCATGTTCTGTGCGTGGCCGTCGCACGGACAGCCCGCACCTTCACATCATTGAAAGAACACAATGTTTTGAAAAAATGACATGTTTTGAGGTATTTACTCATCCAGAAATATTTACATTTGAGTTAAAAAAAACTTGATAGCCTAATGTCCCACATCCCCCACTTTATATTCTAGCAGTCAAAATGGTGCTTAATAGCTTAATTTCCATATCATACCTTAAGGTTCCGAAAGAACGCCCAGCCAAAATGAAGAGATAAATGGAAAAAACCATGGGGCGGGCTATCCTTGGGAATGCCACGGCAAAGCTGTCATCGAACCGTTGCCGGCAGCGGGTGATGCGGAACAAGAATGCGCTCGCTTCATCAAATACAAGGACCGTCACTCACTCTGTGAGACTTCCCTTCAAAGTGAGGACGCTCCAGAGAAGAGCTGGAACGCAAGAGCCATCAAGCGCAATCGGCAACCAAGTCCCTGCTGCCTCCATTAGAGTCAAGCTGCCCAGACTCTAACTGCTCAAGTTCGACGGATAACGTCAACAGTGGAGACCCTGCTGGGAACAGTTCAAGCAGGTCATCCACGGCAACCCCGAATCGTCATTGGTCAATAAGTTCCACTACCTCAGATCTGCAATGTCAGGGGAAGCTACAGCAGTGATTGCTGGATTGCCACCAACAGCAAGCTTCTACCAGAATGCACGCGAGATCCCGGGGACACGGCAACGAAGTGCTGCTCGTGGATGACCACATGATGGAACTAGAGAAACGACAGCCAATTCGTTCCGCACTCCGGCAGCTATGCGACGACCTACAGGCACACGTTCATAGACTGAAATCGCTAGGGGTGAGCGAAGATTCATTTTTGGCTCTGCTACGTCCCCTGATACTTGGACTGATCCCAGGGGATCTCGTGTTGACCTTCAACACAAGTGTCGTTCGAGACAAGGAACAATATTGCATGGACATTCAGAAGGAACGCTGGGCTGGCAAAGAAAACAAGCAAGCACGGGAACAACAACAGCCAAAGCAGCTGCCTGTACTCCCGAAATTCTTGTGTATTAAAGTTGAAAGTAGACAATGAACAGCCTTGACAAGAAAAACAGAATCCGAAAGTTCAAAACATACGGCAGATAAAGAGAGTGGAGCAGCATTTCGAGCTCAAAAGCCCAGTACCAAACCAGGGTCCTGCAGAGGAACAGCTGCAATGCTTTTACAGCAGACTGACAAGCTGTGTCGTTTTTTCTGCAAGTCCCCACAACACAGAACTGTGCCAAGCCAAGATGGATCTTCCAGAGAAGTGCTGGACGGTGCTTCGGGTGCACAAAGAAAAATTATCTCGCTAAACAGTGTAGGCAAAAACAAGAGACAAAGTCAACCAAAGAAAAGCAAGACTTTTCCCGCTCCAGTCGCTCTGCAATCTACAGTTACACAAGGGGCCGAGAAAACTGCATTTCCACAAACCGCGACAGTTTGGAGCTTGGAACATCACCAACACATTCTTATAAGAGTTCTATTCGATGGTGGGAGTCACAGAACAACTGTCTCAAACACAAAGATGCAAGCCTGTGGGCAAAGAACACTGGCAGCATTCTGTGACCATACAGGGGAAAAAAACTTGTGTTGGTTCTTGAAAACAAGGGACAAACTTTCCATGTGGAAACACTCACAACAAGTAGGATTTGCAGTTAGTGACTTCCCCGCCCAAAGCAAGAAATATATCACCAACTAGAAGCCGGCTTCTGTGACTATGATGCACCAACAAGTGCGGACATCCCGATGGGTGCAGACTGATATTGGGTAAGGAGATACGACAGAAAACTTGGATGGACCATACAGGGTCCAACAGAACTCCTTGCATTTGTGATCCGGTGTTCACAGGTAATTGTACTGAAGGCCACGACAGACAGTGCAGATGTATCTCAAGTCGTACAGAAGTTTTGGGACCTCAAATCGACGAACTTTAGCCTGAGAAGAAACCCACAACACCTTTTTACCAGGAAACAGTCAGAAAGAATGGCTACGAGGTTCCCTGGAAACCTATACAGTCACCGACCATTTTTTCGCACTCCGATAATTCGGACTTCTTCGATATTTTGGACCTAAATGAGGAACCGTGACCTACCTGATAAAAATAGCGCATATCTACGACCAATGTTTCGGACAGCTTGAAGTCCGAAAGTTGAATTATTCAGACAAAATCGCAGCAAGTGATCAGCGGGAAACACCACTGAGAAGCGGCCATTTTGGAGTCTATGTTCGCTGCACATGGATAGGCTGGGTTTGGCAGCGCTACTCGAGTAGTACTGCTAAGCTCTACCGCTAGGTGATGCCCCACGGCTTTTTTTTCTCTAGCTGCGCATCATTATCATCATCACTGTTCTTACCATTTTTTGTTCATTCGCCATTGCAGTCATGGACTTGCGCCTCTCATATCGATCTCAGTGAATCGTGTTTTCGGACTACACTAGCTTGGACATCATTAACCCATCTGTTCTTCAGCCGCCGCAATGTGTCGCTAAGAAGCACGGAAAGTACTCGACCAAAACGCTAGAAAAGAAGGCAGCAATTCTCAAGCTAACAGAAACTTGCCGAATGCAAACGGAGGCGTAATCTGAAGCCAGGCAGTATTTACGGCTTTTTAAAGCCCGCTTAGAAGTGATAGAGGCAAGTTTTTCAATTTGCTGATTTTCCGGACCGCTCTGTTATTCACACATTTTTTTTTCGGTCCCTGCAAAGTCCGAAAAATCGGTGGGTGACTGCACCACATCGAGAATTTGCGAGTGGCAACGAGGTGGAAGATACTTGCAGAGTCTGCAACTCGGCGTCATCCTGTCGAGCCTTGGTTAGTCTGAAAAGTCGGGGGATGCAGCGAGTGCCTCGATGCGTGAAAGAGCGTCGGCTGACTCATCATTCACTCCAGGCACGCGACGCAGATCGGTTGCAAGCTGGGAGATGGATGCGAGACGACGAATCTCGCGGTCCGAGTGTGAGGTCCGATTAGCGTGGAAGGCAAAGCAGAGTGGTTTGCGATCCGTCACAACATGGAAAACCCGGCCTTCCCGGAAGTGCAGGTACAGTAAACATTCGTGAGTTCAACCCTGCTTACTTCGACTTTTCGTTTAATTCTATCGTGTTCAAAAGTCCCGGCGAGTGCCCATACATTTCTGTGGGAGGGAAAGTTTGATAGTTTGAACTCGGGAAGACTCCGCATTAAATAATTCGTCCCGAGCGAATGCGCGCGGGTTCAAGTTGCACGGCACCACGGCAGAACCACCACCAACGTAGGGCGAAACATGGGCCCTTTGCTGCAAAGCCGAACGTGCGCAAATATGCGCCTGCTCCTCTACACCATTGAGATGGACCGTAGCGAATGACACGAGCCAGCGCAACCAATCTGGCGTGGAGTAGCGCGGAGAACATAGCACGTGGTCGGGTGCGGAGACCACCGTGCGCATCTATCTCTATGGCGCGCGCTCGCAAAGCGCTTTTCTGTAGCATCATGTGCGATCCATCTTGCACATCAAAAAATGCAGGTTCTCTTTTTCGTTTTCGTTTTTGTTTTTTTTTTGTAATTTTTCTTTGGTGCCGACGGTCTGGCTGCCAGGTGCCAAAGTCGACTCATAAAACTTTTTTTTTTTTTTTGTAGTGCGCGATTTTTCTTGAAATCGGCTGTTCCAAGGACACTTCATCACATTGACAACGAGACCATAGCTGCGCACTTGTTTGAAGAGCAACCAAAGATGCTGTTCATGCTCTTCAGGTGAACTTCTGTCCATGAGCAGGTCGTCAACGTGGCAAATGCAAAGAGACGTCTGCGTGGCACTTGGTGTACAATTCGTTGGAATGTCTGTGCCGAGTTGCTTAGTCCGAAGGGCATTGGTACAGTCTAAGCTCGCTATAACAGACCTTGATTTTGACCAAGATTTCGGTCTGCTGTACGAGGAGTATGTTGTGTGCAGATAGGAAGTTGAGTCAACGGCATGAAGAGGAAAACCAACCGAACTTCACAAATCGGTATGTTATATCCAAATGTCTGTTGTAATGAGCTTAGAGTGTACATACTCGAATAACCCCAATTGCATGGTTACAGCCGTCTTAGGAATGTCGGATGCCTCGATCGGTATGCAATGGTAAGCTTTGACCAAGTAGACTTTACTGTAAATAGAGGTTCCGGCAAGTTGTTCCATCAAGTTGTGAAAGTGCAGCGGAGGATCCCGCAAAGCATTTGCATTCAGGGCGCAGTATTCCCCCCACTGCCTCCAGTCCCCTGGCTCCTTTTTGGACAAAATATAAGTGGTGAAAATCTTTCATTTTTTTATGAAAGTAGCTTTTGTTCAGAATTTTAGATCAGAAAAAAACAAATGCAGCTTATAAAGTATGAAAACAAGAAATGACCCGTCGACATACCCGCGTACCAAGCAGTGGAAAAGGCGGCGCAAACTAGAAAGGTGTAGTGGGATCAGGCACCGACGAGCGGCGAGCGTAGAAAGGTCCCGGATGTATGCGACGGCATTGCGGTCGTATATGGGCTTAAGGATCCGAATGGTTCCCAGTGTTCCGAAGACCTTCGGCGAGCAGGTTTGGCTTGCGGTTTGGCGGTATGGCAGCGCGAAGTGGCTCCTGTTCTGAACTGATCTTTACCCCATGTTTGCTGTTGTTTGTGGCCAATGAAGTGTCATGCCGAATTAGTGTTTAATCGCGCAGCAAATGCAATGCGAGCCGCCCTGGCTGCCCGCTTCATGCAGCCTAACCAGAACATGCTTTAGTGGCACCCTCTCGAGCCATTGATACGGAGTGCGGCAGCCGTGAGCGCTTGCTGAGCTCACTACCCCTCCTTTACGTCACGGCCACTCAAGCAACCAAGGACGTCATGAAGGAGATTATTTTTTGCTTGTTTTTGTAATTTTAATTTTTCCAACAACTTTTAAAATAAAGCGAAATTTGAGAAAAGAAAAGTTTCTCTAAGTTACGACGTTCAGGGTGCTCGGGTACGGTATAAATTAAAAAGCAGTAAAAAAGTCCGTGCAGGGCCCGTTTGAGTGGTCACAAATTCCCAAAAACTTAGAAACGGCCAAGGGATTACTCAAAACACCGGCCGTATCTTGGATATACCCCAAAAGTACAGGGTGTCACAAAAGAAAATTTACAGTCTTTTTTACCATGAAAATAAACTAGGCATCGCGGAACGCTGATTCTCCGCCCAAAGGTAGAGCTAGAGGTCACAACCAGATGCCAAAGTTTCAGCCCGATCCGATATCTTAATCAAAAGTTATAACTGATTTTCTGAAAAGTTTAATGGGAAAATAGCGGCCGACGGAGTTTTCGAATACATGGAGCTCTATGGCACCAGAAACCGAAAACGGGCGAAAATGGGTTCCATTTTCCCATTGAAATTTTCAGAGAATCGCTTATAACTTTTGAATACAGCATCGGATCAAACTGAAAATTTGGCATCTGGTTGAGGCCTCTAGCTCTACCTTTAGACGGAAAATGAGCGTTCGGCGATGCCTAGTTTATTTTTGCAGTAAAAAAGACTGTAAATTTTCTTTTGTGACACCCTGTATCATGTGTTTAGCGGCACCCAAGGCATCCACGCCGACCCCTCGACCAGGGTCCCCAGAAGGCGACTGGCGGGGCCCGAGTGGCAACAAAGGGGCGTCACGCCATCCCCCATCGGGTGGACTCGAGGAAAACAACAGCGAAAGACAAGGCGAGTGGGCCGAGCCTGGGGGGACGGCGGGAGAGCGGCACAAGGGGCCCCTGCCAAGGCTCGCGTCGTCCGAGAGGAGGGACCCACCCTGTCCCAGGCCCTGCAGGGCCCTGCGGGCAGCTTCCTCTAGGGCCGCCTCCCGGGACTCAAACTCCTCCGGGTACGACTGGAAGGTCTGCCCGTCCAGCCGCACGCTGGCCAGCCACGTCAGGGGGCCCTGCTTGGAGCTGCGGCTGCTCAGCACGCTGAACGAAGCCTTCAGCCCCCTCCGCTCCGCAAGCTCCTCCACCAGCTCCCGGCACGAGCGACCTGCCAGACACTCTCCTTGCAGTTCAAAGCTTCCAAAACTTCTTTCTAGGAGAAAATTGTAGCTTCCTACCGAGCGTTGTTAACAAACGACACGCTGGGAGCGTTGCGTACGGTTATACAGGAAGGTATAAAGTTGGAGCCCAAGGTGGGGCCTGGGATCTCTTTTGTTCAACCAGAGCCGAGGCTAGAGGACACCAACCTACTGATTGTCCTTAACAGAACTCTAATCAAGCTCTCAATTGCTATACTTGATATTCACTCTTTCCGCGCCAGCTAAAACGTGGTATCACGTTTTAGCTCTGAACTAAATTGCGGAGGATTTGCAAAATCAAATAATCTTCCCGAAATTGCCACTTATAGCACCGTTGGACTTAATTCAGTCTTACGATAAATGATGAGTAAAAAATGAGAAAATATACCTGAAGCGGAATACCCAATAAATGGCGCCACCGAGTTTGTTGCCAAACAAAAAAAGGGCAAATATTATATCGAGAGACTTCCGGTTGGCAACACTGTCCTTGTTGTCACATTCCTTTATTCCACATTCGTGGCACCATGGCCAATGCAAAGTATTGCAAAGAAGCACGCATTTCTCGAAAAGTTTTCTATATAAAAGTAAGTATCATATTTACTCGCACAATGAGCGCACCCCCCAAGTCGGCTCTCAAAATTTCGACTTTTTTTTTCACTCGCGTAATAAACGCACCCCCAACTCTGACGTCAAAAATTTGACCCCCTCCCCCACGCGCGCGAAATGAACGCAATTTTTTATCCTGGTGCAGCGAGGTTCGCGAATGCATGGGCAGCGTGGGCGAACAAAACGCCTTGCAAAAGGCGTTAAAAAAAATTCGCAAAGGTCCAACGGAAGCAAGAAAAAGAAACATGGAGAGGAGCTTTTTTTTTTTTTTTTTTTTTTTGCACAGCGCAGTCTGGATTTTGGGTTCGCGCGCCGCCGCGCGGAAGGAGGTAAGAAAGAGAAGCGGAGAAGCGCTCTAAGCGAACGAAACAGCTTGCGAAAAGCGGCCAAAAAAAAAAAAAAAAAAAAAAAACCTACGGAACAAAAAACAAAACAAAAAGTTGTTGTTTTTTTTTCGTTTTTTTTTTTTTTTTTGCACAGCGCAGTCTGGATTTTGGGTTCGCGCGCCGCCGCGCGGAAGGAGGTAAGAAAGAGAAGCGGAGAAGCGCTCTAAGCGAACGAAACAGCTTGCGAAAAGCGGCCAAAAAAAAAAAAAAAAAAAAAACCTACGGAACAAAAAACAAAACAAAAAGTTGTTTTTTTTTTCGTTTTTTTTTTTTTTTTGCACAGCGCAGTTTGGTTACGGGGGAAGGGTCCCGCGCCGCGGGAAGAGGAGCGGAGAAGCCCTCTAAGCAAACGAAACAGCTTGCGAAAGGCGACAAAAAGAAAAAAAAAAACCACAGAACTAAAGAAAAAACAAAAAAAAATATTTTTTTTTTTTTTTTTTTTTGCACAGCGCAGTTTGGTTGCGTGGGGTCGTGCGTCGCGCGCAGGGAGATAAGAAAGATAAGCGGAGAGCCCTCGCCTAAGCAAACAAAAGAGCTTGCGAAAGGCGGCAAAAAAAAAAAAAAAAGCCAAAAAACTAAGAAAAGAAAAAAAGTTTTTTTTTTTTTTTTGCACAGCTTATTTGGTTACGGGGTAGGGCGCCGCGCGCAAAGAGATAAGAAGTTACTTCGATTTTTCATGATAAAAGGTCCGTTCGTTATGCGAGTAAATACGGACGCAAAAATTTTATTTGGCGTAATGAACGTCCCCCCCCCCCCCCCCAACTTTGCATAGATTTTTCGGAAAAAAAAAAGTGCGTTCATTCTGCGAGTAAATACGGTACGTACAAACTGTCACCCAACGAGTGTAACTGTGCTTTCGTTCACCATTTTCTGTGGTTCTAGTTCTTTATCTCCTAATTGCCGCGGATAAAGATTTAGAACCAGAGGTTCAATCGGGATTAGAACTTCCACAAAGAAGCGTAGCCACATTTGCACTTGGAGCACATGGAAAGAAACCCAATGAGGGAGTGCAGGGGGACATGGGCTGGTCGTCTCTTGAAAGGCAACTAGTAAGTTGAAATTTGAACAAAGGTTGACAGAAATAGATGATACGCAGTGGGCACGGAAGGTATTCAAGTATTTATACATGAAAGGTATAAATACTTGAAAGGGATGACGGACACTTTCAAGAAGTGTCCCTCATTCCTTTTTGTCCTGTTTTAGGTGCGTCATTCTTTCTGTCATCCTCGTCCAATAACCAACACGCTCCCAAGTTTATAGTCTTATTTCCAGTCTGCGGTCGATACATCCGCCTCGGCCCAAGTAAGGACGGCGTTCTCGAAAAATTAGGATCTCCACGATACATTTTTCTGTTGCACTTTCTTTGCCACTTGTTTTTAGGAAAGCCCGGCCCTGAACACTGTATGCGTAACAAACTCCTTGCAACGAATAAGCTACATTCGAGAGCGACGACCATCGAGCAACCCGGCGTTTGAAGTCGTCGTTGCCGGTTATCCCAAGTTCTACCAAAACTGGAGGAAATGCTTCTCCGTCTTCTCGAGAGGCGAGAACAGCCCGCAGCAAAAGAGCATCGCCAGAGGTCAGGGAGTCGCCCGCCAGACTCTAAGCCAGGGCCGGTTGGAGAGTGGATGCAGCTACTCCTCCGTGCGGTTCAAAAAGGCTGCAGAGGGATTTTGAGGTCACCCCACCGTTTCCGTAAGGACAAGGTACCTATTAGTGCCGAGATGTTTCGGTGCTGCCTTCTCGTGGCATCTGTTAAATTTTGTTCACGACGCTTTAGTTTCTTTTTTGCTCGGGAGAGCGTGAAAGCGCGGCTCCTGGCACGAGCCCTCGGCATTGACGGTGCTACGACGGCACTTTGTTGTTGGCCATTTTGTGGTATTTTTCCAGAGGCCTCGGCGTAGCTCAGTGCTAGCGTGCTCGCTTCGTACGAGGCGGGCCCAGGATCCAATCCCGCAGGTGGCTGGCCATCTTCATCGAGGGTTTGGCAACATCGACGACAAACGCCCCACGACAACTAGAACGGACGTCACTTCCAGTGGTTAGAAGAGACCATAACAACCGTGAAACATAAATATTTAAATCTTAAAAAAGCAGTCGCGATGGCACGATCAAATGTGAAGAAGAGAAACGGCATAAAACCACCAAAGTCGACAGCGTGATGTTACTCTCGTCGATGAACGCAGAATAATACGATACGCCAGTCCAAAAGAAAGACACGGAGCATTTTCAGTTAGGCACCCGTGGGGGGCTCAGACCCGCTCAAATAGTTACCCTGGAAATCTCTTTGCTAGGGCAAAGGAAATTGGGGAGCCTGGAAAAACCCCCTGGACCCAGTTCCAAAAGCCATGCTTGGAGCAATCTCAATCCTCTCCAGCCCAAAGCCTATTTCCCGTTTGAGCACCAGAAGGTCCGACCCAATTCCTAGGTGAAGCTTCCTTCGGAGGTCTCTAGGCCTCACGGTATTTTCTCGCCAAGCACCGCATCAAAGCCGGGAGGGCTTCCCCGGCCATCGACCGATAGGTGTTCTTGGAGCTTCAAAATATCGGGGATCCCCAAACTAGTGGCTTTGCAAGGAACCAACTGGGCAGTGGGCATACCTGGGGGTGTGACGGGTGCCACGGGCGACAGGAGGGGCAACAAGAGGGGCGACGGGGTCCCCTGGACCCTCTCGGCGCCATCCTGGCCGGCTGGGCTGTCGGGGGGCACGGGGGAGGGCAGGCCGTTGGAGCGCCGCTGGAAGCGGGGAGCCACTTCCAGCCGGCCGCCGGGCTTCTGCACGGGCGGGGAAGAAGGTCACCCGTGGGTGGTCCCCCTCCTACACCGCCCGCAATGCAGCTTCCGCAGCATTCGTGCCACCCAGTGGACGTCACGGCTCCCACGTAATCAACCAACGAGATATTCGCAAATTCACGCTCATGAGACTGGTTCGAGCTATTTTGGAGCAGCAGAGAGAAGAGCATGCAGTTCATTTTCATTTAATCTGGATAATAGGTTAGGATTCAACTAAACTTGCCTTCCCACTTCCACGCAACCTCACCCATGGCGCGGCAGATTCCCTTCAAGACGCAACTATCCGTTCAACTGCGCCTAGAAACGCCAGGCACGGCAACGAGGTGCCGATTGATGAAGGACACTAGAAACTGCTGCTAATTATTGTTTTAGGTATGGAACCACTAAAGCAAATAGTAAATTCCACTAAAATAAAGTTGCATTAGATTCATTTTAAGCACCAAAATTTATCTGTTGCTACAGGTTAATCTGCAATAAAACTGCAAAAGATAAAAAAAAAAAAAAGAAGATATACATATAATACTTCTTTATTTGTTTTCTCCAAGGAGCAGAGGGGCAAGGACAAAAAGTCATTCAGCAACTTCATGAGGTCCCTGCCCCGATACAAACGGCAGAGAGAGCACTGATGACATGTTTCATAATCACTCATTCAAAAAAATGAAACAACAAATACAAATCTACACACATACAAGAAAAATCAAGCAGTGGTCAACCAAAAACGTGCGGGTTAAAATTTGTTAGTCAGAGGCAGTGAGAGTCATAAACAGGGATATTATGTGGGACTTGGTGACAACTTCAGGTATGACATGATATTGAATCAATTCATTGAGTGATGTAGATTGTGTCCTGTTTCGTTGATTGATGTCCGTATGTTGTACGAGATGTCGGCACAAACCATGGTTCTGCATGTCATGTATTATGACTTGTGGAATGCTTGTTTAGATTTTAAAAAATTAATCATAAAGGTGTTGTTTGCGAGTAGGGCAAATCTGTAAAGGAAAGATATATTTAGGATGTTTAACTGCTGAAAATAATTAGCAGTGCTCTCATTCCATGCGAGATTTGCTAATATTCTAATTGATTTTTTCTGCGCACGAAGGAGGTTAAGAATGTTATGTTTCCTAGTTACATCCCACATGAGATGACAATATATTAGGTGAGAAACAACAAGAGCATTGTATTGTCACGAAGGACAAATGCTGAGGCGGCGGATAAATGAAGAAACTAAACGTTTAATGGGGCGAACCTATGCCCAAAACAATATAGAGAAAGGTTAGCGTCCTTTACTAATAAACTAGTAGTACACATACTCAACAACAAACTTTAGGTATAGTAAAATTACTGTCTCGACAGGATTCCTATAAAGGAGCGCATAGTAAAGAAAAAAAAGAGGAACCAGCTGACTCAGTTGTGAGTTAGCACGTGTGTGTCCTGTCCCTTTGAGCGCCGTTTTGCATAGTGTTCAACGATCGCAAACTAGCCGAACTTGCCACCTTGCTGGAGTTAAATATATGTCCCGTGAGGTCAATTCCAGACATCTGGGGCGTTAGAATCGAGAGAGGGGGACTTGCCAGCTGGGGGAGGCCCCTGTGCCTGCGCTGGACAACGGGCTGCCTGGACGCCGGGTTGAGGGGGGCGCTGCCGGCCGGCCGCACGGGGCTCCCCGTCTGGCCGTCTAGGAGGCTCTGGTACGACGCAAACCGCACGCTCGGCGCCTGCCGCGGTGCCGGGTGCCGGCCGGGGCGCTGCGAGGGGGGCCACGTCCACGTGTGGGCACAACGAGCAAACCACAATGACGCTGCCTGGCAGCCGACCGCTGGCGCCCTACCCTCGTGTGGTCGGGCAACAAACGACCTCACGACCAGTCCCGCTCGTCCACGCAAGAACCCACCATTGCTCGCGAGTGGCCGACAAGCGCCGTCCGTCGTTCGACCACACTCAGCGAGGTTCGGTAGCGCCATCTGTTGTTCTGTGACAACGGTAAGTGTCGCTATCTTTAATCACCTTTATATTACGCAAATTGGCCGCGCATGAATGTAATTTAGTTCTTTTTTCTTTAGAATGCTTAGAGGTCGTAGATTGAGTGATGACAATACGAGGATCTCGAAAAGCACTTTAGAGCCCTTTTAAATGAGCGACGCTCTGGAATCGACGACGCTTGGGCCATCTCCTTGCTTAAGGGCATCCTTGCCGGTTATCCCAAGCTTTACCCCAAATCGCAAATGACGGCACAGCCAGCAACGAGGCACGAAGACATTGCTCGAGGTTTCCTACGACGTATCCGAAGCTCGGGAAGTTGCTCTTCGGGGTCCATTTCCAGCTGCATCTGCTCTGCACTTGGCTATAAAATGGCAGCGCGCACAAAACAAATGAGACCCAGCCGTCGATACTTCAGGTTTAGCATAGTTGCTGGCCCTGGAAATAACCCAGATCACAGACGAGAGTGATGTAAATAAAATTAACAGATCCACCGCAGTACCATCATTCCATCTCAGATTGTCAGCATATCTCCAACACTAATCCTCGATATCAGTCCCGCCAAAGAACAAATACGACGGAAAGCAAAAGGGAATGCCGCAGACGGCAAAAACAGATTGCAGCGAGTCAAAATTCCTAGAGACATGCACCTGTCTATCCACTATGTGTAACCACCGTCACAGATACAATATACAGAAAACAAAACACTTATAATAAGGCAGAAGCGGGCATAATTCATTCTTTCATTTGTTCAGTGCACTCTCCAATGGTGTTTATGTCCCAATACAGAAGGGTAACAATAGGAGCGTGGCAAAGCAAAGACAAAATAGTACAGAAAGAAAGCAGACAAAAGGTTTCGCCCCAATGAAGTTGAAGAACTGCTCGTCCACTCGTGTTTTTCTTTGCGCAATTCCCAATACCCGCCTTCTGTCTAAAGTCAAGAAGGAACAGGTACCGACATCGCGAGATACTTTAAAGCTAATATGTTTGCAAAAATGATCGTTTTTGAGGAGGTGCGACCAACTCAGACCGGAAAAGTTTCTTCTTTCGAGGGAAACTCCAGTCAGTATTCTTTGATTTGGGATTACAACTGTTTTCAGCTAAGCCAGTATCGTCGAATTGCGAGGTATACTTTTTTTTTTTATATCGCGCCTAGTTATATAAATATTGCGGCTCAAAGTTTGGTTTTGGGCGTCTATGGCAAAACCCAAACTACCGTATTTATTCGATTACAAGTCAAGCGTTTCCGGAAATGTTGTCAAAAATGAAGGGTCAACCTCCAATGAAGCTATCACGACCCTAAGGAGCACATAGAGCTAACGAGTCACTGAGCCGGCGTCACCATAGCGCCGCTTCTCATTCCAGAAAGGTTTTGGCGCACGAAAACCACCGAAACAGCAGCAGCCAGCAGGCCGCTGCTTCAGCGCATCCCTGGAGCACTGGGTTTTGCGCCTGTCCGCAACTGCCACGGCCGGCGCCGCTCACGCACGCCCCACGCGATGGAAGGGGGAAAGGAGGAGGCACCTTGCCCCCTTCCCTCCATCCCTCTCTCCCCGGTAGAAAATATGGAGGTTTCACCGTTGCGCCTCTTGTTGCTCGCAATAGCTCGTGGCGGTGCTAGTGGCTTTATATTTGGCCGACCGTCGGTGCGCACGTATTCACCTTCTTTTGTTTCTTGTTGTCGCCCTTTGCAGCTGTGTCAGTGAGGTATTGTTGCGAATTTGTGCGGATGTCGGCGAAGCGGATGAAGCTTCCGACGACCATGATGTGTCCGGAAATTGCGCCCTTGATTTAGCAGACAGCACCGTAAATAAAGATTTGTTTCTATCTTTTAACAAAAATTACCGCCCTTCTTTAAAAAAAAAAAAAAAAAAAAAGTGGACCTATATTTGAATTACATTTTTTTTAAATTCTCGGCGAGTTTAACATAAAGGCGTTGACCCATATTTGTAGTCGACTTATATTCGAGTAAATACGGTATCTGCAAGAGATGGCAACACCAATCATCAGCTGTACGGCAAGACGCGACGTCTTTGTAATGCTGCGGCTTGCGGTACAACCAATCAACCACAGCTTCACCACGGCGCGATGTCGGGGGGTGCTGCACCGGTGTTCCTCGACTAAAAGGCAACCCGCTTGCCGCCCGCTAAAGAGCAGCTGGTCGCATCTTTAAAGTCAATTTTAACAGAGGCTTCACTTTGACTTCATATCTCGTGCCGCTAAACAATACCAGTCATTTAGTTTGATTTCGTTTCTTGCCAAAGTTTAAGGCGCCATTTTGCGCGAAATTATGGCTGTCACGCACCATGTGAAAAGGAGTCGGCGAGCAGTTCAAATAAACGTGCCCAACCTTTCGTCCACCTTCTTTCTGCCCTTTTCCTTTTTTCGGCCGGCGTGAATGATTTGCTACCATCTGTTCCCATCCTTAGCCCCCCACATTTGCTGAGTCAACACGCAGTAATGGTTACGGTGTCTCCAACTGGTGCGTTTGACAACGCATCCAAAGTGGTCCCCAAACGCCAACAAATCCCAAAAGCCCGAGCGTCACCCTCTTGTACGTCGCCGGCAGTCAGGTGTAGAGTTTCCCAAAAAAGGAGGGAGAGAAAGCGAGCCGCCCCCAGAAGCCTCTGTCCCACTGGAGGGCAAGCTGCAGCAGAACGGGCGTCTGTGGGGGAACGGGCGACACTTCTGCGCCAATCGAGGGACCACTTTCTCCGACGTGGTAAACGCACCAGTGAGAAAGGGTAGTGATCAAGGGAGGAAGAAGAGCCCACCAGGAGTGGCTTGTCCTTGGCCGCCGCCTTCTGTCCGGCCACCAGGTGGGCCATGTGGGCCGTGGACGGCTTTGTCACCGCCTCCACCACCGTGTCCCGGGAACGCCTGCGAGGGACTCCCCGGTCTCCCACAAAGACCTCCACCGTGGCAGCAGCAACGCGCAACGCACCGGGCTGCCTACCAGCTGCTTGCCTCCCCCGCTTTCCCCCGCAATGTTTCCATTAAATCCACCAACCATTACTCGAGAAGGGAATGTGGTGGTGTTCGGGTGCGTCTCATCTGGTGAAACGGACGCGCCAGAATTTCCCGCTTCGTCGCGCGTCGCCGCACCGCCCGCTTCGGTCCACTTTGGCAGCTCGACCGATCTTCTGACGATTTCCCGACAGTCCCCGGAGTTTTGCGGATGCTTCGAAATTCCCCGACGATTCCGGGTCACAATAGCATAGTGCGGACAAACTTGGAACATACTTTATGAATCGACGAGGCAAATGTCCTCTCAGAAACAAAGCCCCGCCGAAGGAAGGAGTAAAATGCAAAAGCTCGCCTCGACTCCAGTTTCCGCCAACGAGGCGCTCGTGTTTTCCCCGCAAGCACTCTCACTCATGTGCTCGCTCGGCTGGACCGGAGGCCACAAGGAGACGCGGACATTCGTGCGCCCAAACAGCATTCGGGTCCCCGCCCCACTCTTCCATTACGAGCGTGCATTACGGGCGCACACTACAGCAAGTGGGATATGCGAGACAGCCTGCCACAGAACGCTCTTTCGATTAAAACAAAAACACCCCCGACATTCTGACACGGTCAAAGACACCTTCCAAAAGGTTCTCAAACCCGCTCGAACATGTCAAGTGCCGGCTATATGAATACTTCTGCACCACACCAGTAGAGCTCCGTGTTTGTGGCAAACTGGAATAAAGGGGTGCCGAATAAATCTAGGAGAAATAGCTTCTAACCAGAAAAGGTGAGTGAGCCATTTCGGGCCCCATCGCTTAGTTGCCCTTCCACGTGGTGGTTGTGCACTCAGCATGGACCCAAGTGCTGCCATCCGACGGCAAGGTTTGTGTACACGTATCGCAAACGCACCGAGTGGCACTACAAACGACCGTGTTCTAGAGACAAATGTGTCTCTCTAGAAAACGCTCTTGCATTTTGCAGCTTGGAAATAATTACGCCACTCACCACATTAATTGCATCCACAAGGTTGACTTCGCCAATTCAGACATCCTTCGGGGTTTGAAAATTTTTTAGTCGAACCTCGGGAGGTTTGCATCTCTATATAACGTTACTAAAGAGAAAACGCAATCAAGTTACACATGAGTGTTTACAGATGCACCTAGTCACAGTTACAGCTTTCTAGGTACTGCACAATGTCCAGGTGTGCTGCAAATACTGGCCAACGCTTGAACTTGCGGCGTAAAAAGATATTGACATACTTTTGTTTTGAGTTCGGCTCGAGGCCATCGCGTGTAGCACTCACAGCAAGACTAAATCAATGTGAGCATCAGCCGACCTCATTTTGAGAAGTGTATAGAAGTTAGTCACAAGTTACTCCAAGACGTAACTAAGCTGCAGTAATTGAAATCTAATCGCAAACTTGGAAAGTTACTGAAAGTACTTATCCAAACATTGGCACAAAAGTACGCCGAGCTTTCCTGCAACCAAAGATTCGTTATTTAAATTTTCTTCCCTGTGTTCCAAGCGCTTTTACCAGGGGTGAAGTATTTTAGGCTTCTCGGAAGGAGGGGGTGGGAGCCACTCACTTGCGAATGGTGGCCGCATTGGGAATGCTCCCGATGAATGCCTCCAGGGTGTCATAGCCAAACTTCTTGTATGGAATGGGGCTGCCAATGAGCACTGTATACTCCTCTGGGGAAGGGGAAAAAACATCCAGTACCCTAGATTGCATCGGGTTTTGGGGGAAAGACACAGAGTGCGCCAAAACTGCATGGGAACAACAACAAATATTTATTGATTGCGCCCATCCAACATTTCTGGTGTAGTAAGCGTAAAATAAAGACACTTTTATAAGACGCATCACTATGCGAGCTACGTCAATACCCTTTTTAAAGGGTAAGAACTACAGTAAAATACCGAACAAGCGCCCCCCCTCCACCAAAATTTTGAGATAATTCGACTATAGATATAGAGGGGCACTTATTCGGATCGGGCCCAGAATTCAAGGTGGCATGACAGCCTGGAGCTGAGCTGGTTGGTTCAACACGCTTCCTTGAATACCAGCTGAACAAAGAGGAAAAGCAAAGTTTAATGAAAAACTCAAGTTTTTCATTAAAAGGTTGATAGTCCAGCAGTTGTTTCCTCCTCCTCTTTGCATTTCCTCTACGTTCAGATGGCATTCAAGGAGTCAAGATGGTGGCCACAAAGTGGCGGCCAGTAAAAGTGAAAAAAGCATTATAGCCTGCATTGTTGAAAACACTTATTTATTTCAATCAATATTCAACCCAAAAAACAAATCCTGGCATTCACCTCAGTCTCGAGCAGAGCCACAAGACGATTCCTCAGACCTAAAAATGAGGTCTAAGCCCTCGGTCCGCAGCTCGTCGAGGTTCTGGGGGACACCGATGTCAGACAGCCGTTCGTGAAGATCGCCCTCCTCGCCGCACTTCTAGAGTTCCTTTCGCGCTCTAAGAACTCCTACAAGGTGTCGTCAACTTCTTCACTGACGACCGTCGCTCAATTTGTGTCGTACCTTTGACTTCCCAAACCTGTGTTGCAGCAAAAGTTTGTACTTGTCCCACTAGCGAACCCTCTTACGGTCCAACTTGAAATGGTGAGAGGTCAGGTGGACGTCTTTGCCATTCTTCCAATGCCAATCCACAACTTGGGAGTTTCTTCTGCACCGTATACGGATGCTTGGCGAACAAAGAAAACACGGGTACTAAGGAAATGGCGGCGACAGCTGGTGGTGCGTTCTCGTTAGGGGTGTTGCAAACTTTTGTCGAACCTCAATTTTAACGTCGAACCTTGAGGTTTGAATGCTTCGCCGAACCCTAGAACTTTCACTAAAGTTGGAAGAAGTTCGACTTATGGACAGTGTTGCCCGGCTTCTACACAAATATTTCAAATTTTGGTAAACAAATAATTTAGAAAGTAGTTTATCTTATATTTTATAATATGGTCACCTATGTTTACAGCATATAAAAGCGAAAATATGCGCTTTTAATGCATTCGTTAGTAATGTGAACCAGTGATGCCAATACACCCAACAAATATTGCACTTTCCCTCTGCCAAATGGAGTCAACTGTTTTTGTTTTTTTGTTTTTTCATTTTCGGCATGCGCACAAAGTTTTATTTTCAGTCGTATCTTTGTCGAACATCACATTGAAAGTTGGAAAACGTCGAACTATCTAAAACTCAAAACTGGGCAGGTTCGTGACAGACCCAAGTTCTCATAGCAACCTCTTGAATTGGATTGGATTCAATATTGGCTTTGTACACTGCAACAACCAAAAAGCCCAAAACAAAGCTAAAAAAAAAGAATGCCTCGGGGAAAGGCAGCAGCGGGAGCGCGCTTGCTCGATTGTGTACAGAAGTGGGAAATCCCCGGAATATGTTGGGGGGGCCTTGGCAGTGATGGACCGAATCTGCCCAACTTCCTATTTGGCAAAGTTCGGCGAAAATTCGGTAAACGTCTGCGGACGCACGAAAGTGTGACGGTGCCATGGATTGCAAATGAACGCCATCATACAGTGTAGTACTACCAGCGGTTACAGCGAGGTGCAGAGAGGAAATATGATAACTGTGTGTTTGTCAGCCTTTGGGAGTGTAGTCCTCTTCATTATTTTCTGCCTCAAGGACAGAAAATCGACCAGGAATTGACAGAGTCCACTGTGTAAGTGACAAATGATGCACAACATTCTGGATAACGCGATTTTCATTTAGTCTTTCCAGCGATGTAACGACGTAGTTGCAACAGTGACTGACAAGTACAGTCGACTCTCATTAATTCGAACTCGAGGGGGGCCGAAAATTTGTTTGAATAAAGCAAAGTTTGAATTATCAGGAGTTTCTTCCCATAGAGACGCATGGGATGGGACCTGCACGTTAGTTTGAATTATCCGAAAGTTTGAATTAAGAGATTTTGAATTAACGAGAGTCGACTGTAATTTAACCGTTTGTGGTCATCAGTCGGGCCTGGGCCGACATTGCTGGACCGCCATTCCGATCAGGTGCTGGGAAGCACCCGACAATTCTTTGGGCGTGGCCTAAAAATCCGCTTTCGTGCTTGTGGTGCCATTTCTTGCAGGGTGTTTAAAATATGTTTGGCAGCTTTCTACTCCGTTTCAGAGAGGGCAGAACAATAACGTAGCGGTGCAATATGCGCTCTTTCTTCACTCACGTCGCGTGTCCATGATAACAAAACTGGCCTCCTTCGCACTGGACGCGTTTTATGGGAATGCTTCGCGCAAACTCCCCGAAAGCAACAATGATTTCAGTGAGGAAGAAAGTTTAATACCTCCTTCAGAAGCTGAAGAAATGTCCTCTGGTGACAGCGAGCTCAGCGACAAAGAAGAAGACGCTGCAGGAGACGGCGAGTGTGGGGATGCTCCGCCACATGGTTCTTCATGGAGGCCGCATACCCAAGGCCTTCCCCGCTTTCCTGCTGTTCTCTTCACAGTCAACAATCCTGGGGCACAGGTCTCAACCTCGAATCTCCAATGTCTGTTGCACTACTTCCAACTATTTTTCACAGATGAATTGATGGAAGTTATTGTACAAGAAACGAACAAATAAGCTCGAGAAAAAATCGCCGAGCCACTAGCGGAACAGTCTGTGTGGAAAAGCTGGAAGGACGTCTCAGTGCTCAAGTTCATAGCCTTTCTTGAACCCGATGCCCGACCTCAAGGAGTACTTTTCACAGCACATCCTGAACAAGATGCCATTTTTCACATCAGTGTTCACACGAACTAGGTTTCTTCAAATCTTCTGGATGCTGCACGTGTCCCCAGACCGACAGATTTCTCACTGCGGCTTGTGGAAGAGTTTCTCTCCCAGGATGTGGTATCGACCGGTTATGACAAGCAGAAAGAAGATGCCGCAACAAGTAAAAAAAAGGAAATGAAGAAAGGAGATGTGGCAGCCTTCGGAGAGGGGAACTCTTACATGACACTGGCCTGGCAGGACAAACGCCAAGTGATTATGCTGAGCTCAGCTCATAATCCCACAATGAAGACAAGGACCCAAGCACGAGGCCAGACTGCCACGCCAGAGAAACCTCTTGTGATATGCGACTACACCGAGAACATTGACAGGGCTGACCCTTACATTGCCAGCTACAGCTTCACCAGGAAGTCGATAAGATGCTGGAGGAAACTCTTTTTTTGTATTATGGAGATGGCTATCGTCAGTAGCTATCTGCTGATGAAAATGCAGCAGGCTGCACAAGGAGAAAAGATGCAGCGCCACCTCCACTACCGTCCAACCAAAGAAGAGAGGTCCAGCCACCCAGTCGGACATAGAAGAAAGACTAGATGGCAAGCAACACTTCCTGTACAGACTTGACAGACGTAGCAGCAAGGACTGCCCCGTCTGCAGCGACCATAAGCCAGCCGAAATGAGAGACGGTGTTCTTCTGCAAGACTTGCAGTAAGAACCCCGATCTTCACCCTGGAGAATGTTTCGAGAAGTATTACACATCGAAGAAGTTTCAATAGAGAATGCGAGAAAAAGGATAACCTCCTGAGAGAAACCCTTCATGTTATCTTTGTATGCTATAGTCATTTTCTTTACCATTCACTGATATCAGACCTGCCAACCCTACAATGCTGAAAATATTACAGGGGTGCCAAAAAACACTACAATTGTGTAAAAAAATATGAAAACTGTTTTATTCTTCAAAAACTTAGTTTAGGTAAGAAAAATGCCTCAACTAGGGCACAAACACATCATACATTGCACGAAATGTTTTATTCTTTAGAGGTAGAAGGTTGGGCCAACACTGAGGAAGTTGCAGCTTTTGCTTTTCTTAGGAAGTTTTTGTTGAACACTTGTTCATGGCACTTTCCGGACTGGCTGTATCTCACAACTAAACTGCTCAAGAGTCTTTTTCGACATGGAGAAGCGGAACTGCGTGTGTGCCCTCTTCGCATTGCTGAAAACTTTTTCACCTGTGCCTGGTTTAACGGAGACGTTAAAGAGCAAAGTTCTTGCTCTTCAACATCTCCACAACAACCGCCGTGAACGGCACATTGTGTTCGATCAAAAATGCCATAAAAGGCATTCTGCTAAAGTAGTGTCGTAATCCGATGATCGACTAAAGTACCCGCCAAGCTTCTCGTTGGTTTCAACTAATTTTGCAGAGTCCTTGTGCTTTTTTGTATTCAGATGACACAGAATGTCCCGGCGACCAGCGTGCAAAATGTTGACATCGCAGCGACACAGACCACAAAATGCGTACCTTTCGCCCTTGCGCGACGTCTTCATAAATGGAAAGTCGGTTGAATAGCTGGGAATAAACACTTGAAAGTATTTTTTCCTGACATCTTGTAGCAAAGATGGTTTCAAGGGATCATGAGTAACACAACGCACAACGTTCACCACGACCAACGTCGCCACAACAAAGGAGAATTCCTAAAGAGTTTTGGATTAAGATGGGTGGATGGATGTTAGCGGCTATACCACCCCTTACAACACAGGAGCGGTAACTTGCGCCCCCTGGCATACAAGTCGATGTACCAGCGTTGACAACCCCGACTTGTAAACAGGCGATGCAGCCTAAACAAAAACTTTTTGTTTAGGCTGCAAAATCGTACAGATAGTGTTGTTAATACGATAACCGTAAGAAAGCGCTGGAAAGCGGGCACTTTACAATAAAATCGTAAAACTTGGCAGGTATGTGATATGCAGAAAATGGTTCATGACCGGAAGAAACGATGAATCGATAAGTATTGCTGACTTCAAAGGGCTAAAATACTCCTCACCTTTATGGCAATCCTGTTTTAGGCTCACGAGTAGTATGTGCCAAAACAAAATACTTCATTTTAATTAGCGTTTTTTTTTTTTTTTTTCTGCGATATCCAGTTATTTGCATAAAACTAAACACAGAACTATCATGCTCGACGTTGCACATCCGACATTCCTAACTCTTCCCATCTTCCTAAAAAAAGAAGTGTGTCCTAACATCAGAAACCGGCATTTTAAAATGAAAAAACAAGTTGTCGTGAATATTGGACGCACACACAGGCATGAAAAGCTAAAGTGAAATAAATGGAAAACCATGCATATTTAGAATAATATGGTTCTCTCTACTGGTGAAGGCTCAGCAGCCATTGCATTCATTTGTTGCGCACAAAACGGCAACGGTTTTGCCTGCCTGCCTGCACGCTTGCATTAATGAGGCTTCAAAACTAAAACTCGCATATTGTGATTGCACCCCGCTACTACCCAACCTTGCTGTTGCACCACTTCTCCAAAGAGAGACTGTAAAAGTGCCAACACACAAAAATTACACAGATACAATTATATCGTAAAATATCACCTTATTCAGTAATAATTGTCAATATGCATTATAAAAAAACCTAAAATCTTTTTTCACCCAAAAAAACGACTTTAGGTCTGGCAACAATGCATAGGCAATATCATGCATCCATCCATTTGCCGAATGTTCAGAGAAGTTTGGCAAAACTTGGGCTTTGCAGAATCCCAAGAATCGGCGTCGAATTTTTTATTAGCCATAAGTTTGGTCCATCACTATAGTCAGTGACCAGTCAATAACGAAGTGGACTTGAGCAGACTGAATGGTGGAGAGGAGAGTTCGCTCTACTAAAGTGGTAAGAGGTGGGAGGAGCCTCCACTTTGTTCTTGACCGGTCACCGACTATCGTAAGAACAGGGGTGGAACTCATCAAATGTACTTGGGTGCAGCCACAGGAGCAGCTGCAACTGCTGTTTTGGAGCAGGCTGGGAGCAGCTAAAACTACATTCTGGAGCAGGCTAGGAGCAGCTCAAATCAGTTTTGATTGCACCTCAGTTTGTGTCTTCAGGAGCAATTTCAATAGTGCCTAGCAGCACAGATGAGCATCAGTGGTTAGGAACCTAGCTAGTAACAGGTGCAAAAACTTGGCCTTAGTGAGAACCAACAAGTACCATATGTTTCTGAAGATAGTGTCCTTGATATTTTCTGAGTGGCTTTCAGCTGCTCAAAATGCAAACCAGCACGACCCACACATGCTCGACATAATAACTATACGTGCAAACCATGTGAACCATGTTGCGCAGAGGAACAGGGCAACAAATTTTGAGTTTATCCTATTGTACAACTCAATATCGAAGCATCAGACTACGATTAACGGAGCTATCATATTCGAAGCGATGAGCCAGAGCAAGATTAAAGTATGCCACACAGATCTAACGCTCGCGTGAGAGCTGCTGGCCGGCAAGGATTTGGATCGGACAGCGTTTCCGTTCTATCAAATCACGATCTTGCAGGAATGCAGTTCGAACTTCTAACGGTGAAGTACTAAAAGGAATATTTTGCAAATGTGTTTTCAACTGGCTGACGTCCGGAACCTGGGCCGCAGACGCTCAGGCAATCTGACGCTTAACGACTCGACCTCACCTCGGCCGACTTGCTTCCAGTCGCAGGTGATGTAGCACTTTAAATCCGACCCAAGTTTTTTCGCGTGCTTCCGACTTGGGATACACAGGAAAAATGAACGAAACGAAAAATTGCAAGGTCGACCAAGCTAAACGCACTCATTGTTGCCAATGGAGTCAATAAAAAATGAAACCAAGACAAAATAGAATTATTTTGGCGCACGTTGTGCGATTTGGAGCACAATGGCGCGAAGTATTGGCTGTGGCGCAGTTTCCGCAAAATGACGCAGGATGGCGCAGACAAATGCGTCTGGCGCAAAACGGTACAAAAGGCGCAGCCGTTCCACCCCTGTGAGAACTAGATGACTCAGCATAATGTGGAAGGTGACCAAATGTTGCCTTTATGAGGGTGCACAACCCAGAGGCTTCGAATGACAGTAAAAAGCATGTCAGGGTGTCTAGCAAATTATTATTTTGAAATTCCCTGACTTTTCCAGGTTTTCACTGACAAATTCAGGTGAAATTCCCTGACCACTGTAGAGGCAGTTAAGTATACAAGATTATTAGAACACAAGGCATTGAGCATTGAGCACTGTGAGGATCATTTTGCACGGGCTTAATCCAACTTGCATATTCCGAAATATTCGGGTTCGTCCAGTCCGGATTAAACGAGCACTTTCTTGCCGCCGACATCGTCAGTGAAGAGGCCACTTCCGGAAACACGACGAAAACATGACGCTCAACCACACACGTCAATAACCGAATGGTCGCGTGGCCACCAGATGCACACTTTCGGTTTAAAGAAGCGGTGCAACGATTTTAAGATTAAAAGAATTTGCGTCTCGTCATTTTTACGTTGTTTATCGCGTCCCAGAGAATACGGAAAACATCTTCTTCATTAAAAAATGTTGCGATTCTGCTGCATCATCGCAAAGCAAAAGTCTAGCTTTTCCGCCACCCGCAGCCGCGAGTGGCAGCCGAAGGAACTACTGCGAAAAGCTTACGTAATCTCGCTCGGCTCTAAGCTGCAGCATACCGCCCGCTAATGTACGCAGAGAAAGGGAGGGGAAGCGTCCTCCGAGAGAGCACACGGGAACCTCACCTCGAATTACGTCACTAGGAAGGGGACCAGGTGTGACCCTGAAGGCTGGGAGCAAGCTGAGGGGTGCCCGAAATGACAATATTTATCTTTTTTTTACACAACAACTAGGACACGCAGGCGAAATCGGTTTTCTGTTCTTTGCTTTAGAAGTGTCAGGGGGCAACTTCCAGAAATGTTTGACCGAAGTTCGGAAATAGTTGCACCCTCCCTTTAAGGTTTGGATTAAATTACGGTGTGAGACTTTCCCATTTGTTACTAAATCTAGTAGCTCTAACTGAATCTAGCCTAGTGTCGCGTCCTAAATCCAATTCAATCCAATCCAAGACTTGGACTGGATTTGTCGGCTCTTCCCTCTGCATCAGGTAGCATACTCTACATCGGGTGAGCAGAGCCTCTCGTTCCGCACTAAGCAAAATTTATTCCTTATTTTTCTGCCTCCAAGACGTCGAGCCTTTGCTCAGATCACTCTATGGCGTTTCCTGCTCATCTTCCCTGACTGGGCTCGCTTTTTGACAATATCCCTGACAATTCCCCGATTTTTCCCAGTAATTAAAATTTCCCAGACAATTCCCGCTTTTCCCGGTCGCTAGGCAGCCCAGCATATGTTGCAAAGTGCCGCACCACCACGAGCACTCGTGCACTGCCACTCATTTCTCCGAGAAAGTTCTTGGCGAATGTTACGTGCGATTGATCACCGACAAACGGCAATTTTATAGGAGCCGAGTGAACGGCAAAAGGCCCAGTAAACGAGCGCACTTGGACCCGACTGAGTTGAGAGGGAAACCCACCTTGCAGCCTAGAAAGAGGTATGCCCCCTTTTTCGCAGCTGAGCACAGAGTGAAGGAAGGTAGACACCTCTTCCTTGCTGCACTCCATCACTGCCTGCAAAGAAACAAAAGGGCCAAAGCCAAGCTCTCCGTTTGCCCGCAATGCGACGCAACATGCACACGCTTATGGCTTTAGCTTTAATCGCGAACCAACCAAAGGAAGCTGCAGGGGCAGACAGGGAAAACAAAATGCGAGGTCCAAGCAAAATCTATATCAACTGGACAAAACATTGCGCAATACTGTCACAGTCTCCGTAATTTTAACTCGCCAAGTTCTATAGGCCCCGTCGAGCACGCACAATTACGAGGTTCCCGCAGCACCGACACGTGCTTCCATCTGAAGCGTGCCTTCCCATAATACGCAGAGGTCTCTCTAGACCTTTTCCATGCGGGCACCACCGTCTTAAATCGTGGACCTTCCGGTATGCGGGAAAAGATGTTTCGCTTTCGCCACACCACTGCGAGAAGCTCACGTTTTAATTGCGACGGTCTATCAATCTTGCCTTGGCTATATTTACTTGTTCCAGGTTGTCCTTTTAGAGCGCAGCCCTTAGGCACCGATTCCAGGCTTGAGCGGCGTCGCCGTCGGTGTAACCACGAGTAACCCTCGTAACCCTCGTGAGGGTTACGAGGGTTACTCTTACGAGGGTTACCCTCACTAGGGCCACAAGAGTTACTAACACTCGTAGCCCTCACGAGGGTTACGAGGGTTAGTTACCCTCATGAGGGTCACGAGAGTTACCCTCACGAGGGTCACGAGAGTTGCCCTCACAAGGGTTACTAGGGTTACCCTCACAAGGGCCACGATGGTTACCCAGGTCACGTGACCCCCCCCCCCCCCCCCCCCCCCGGGGTCACGTGACCTGGGAATACCCCTCTGAGGTCACGTGACCCACCCGTTGACGTCATCGCCACTGATGACGTCATCAGTGCCGTCACTAATGACGTCACCAGCATCCGCATCATCATCGTCATCATCACTGATGACATCATGAGTGACGTCACTGATGATGTCACCAGCATCCGCATTGTCATCGTCATCATCACTGATGATGTCATCAGTGACGTCACTGATGACGTCACCGGCATCCGCATCGTCATCATCACTGATGACGTCATCAGTGACGTCACTGCTAACGTCATCGGTATCCACATCGGCATCATCACTGATGACGTCATCAATGACGTCACCAATGACGGCATCGTCACGTGACACCCCAAGGTCATGTGACCCCCCCCCCCCCCCCCCAAGGTCACGTGGCCCTCCCGCCACCCGAGGTCACTTGACCCATTCCCCTAGCACCCCTCCCCCCTCCTCAAGAGCTGCGCTCTAATTCGGCGTTACAGGGAGTTGTAAACGGCTTTCATTTTTTCATCCCGCATACAGGATTTGTCAACAATGGTAAAGGAAAAAGCTCTATAACAGACCATATGCAACCTGTTCTGCTTATAATGTGTATGTTTGTATGTTTGTGCCTTTGCCACTGATCTCTATTGTAGTAAGCTGGATCGAGGCTAGTCTTGCCAGGGTCACCAACAGCACCGGCAGCGATCCCTTGACACCAGCTAACGCATGGGACTCTTTGGCAGAAACGGGGAAAACTGGAAATTCTTCCCTTAGTAGGGTGTTCTCGAGGATGGAACATTTATTGTGTTTTCCGAGGATGACAGGTAATATTCTAAGAGCCAATATCAAAACTGGGAGAATACCGGTCTTTTTCAAATAAATGTTTCCTGGTTGAGGGTTGACTTTGATAGGCGTAAATTGTGCTGCGGTTCAATAAGATGAGTGTTGCCGAGAGTCAATGTGGAGTCGTTCGTGATCTCAAAGTCATCAGAGATCAGCAGATGGTAAGCTAGAGGGCCTTTACTGGGGACATTGTTTCAAGCGCTTTTACAGAGTACTTTTGCTGCAAGCTTTTGCTTGGAACTGCAGCGAGCACTTCTGTACCAAAGTAAAAACTCTGAGCGTGTTGTTCCTTTGTTGAACGTGTTATTTATTCGGCAACTGAAGCAATCGACGCCGACACAGTCAAAGGTGCTCCGGCACGTTTGATTTTGGAGCGCAGCTCTTAGGGGCCCGTTTCAAGCCTGAGCGGCGTTGGAGTCGCCGACGACGCTCAGGGGGGGTCACGTGACTTGGGGGGGGGGGAGGGGGTCACGTGCCCCCCCCCCCCCCCCCCCCCGAGATCACTTGACCCCCCGTGAGGTCACGTGACCCCCCAGGTCACGTGACCCCCGGGGTCACGTGACTACCCGCAGGTGACGTGACCCCCCTCAGTACCCTTCCCTACTGCTCCTCAAGAGCTGCGCTCCAAGTCGGCGTTAGAGGGATTTGTAAACGGCTTTCATTTTTTTTTTTTAATCGGCATTCGAATGCCGATTTAATCTCCAAACACCCGATATAATCGTCAGAGCAGAGCACATCATAAAATACTTGCCTCCGAGAACAGAGTACATGCTTTAATATTCTCACTTTTGTGTGCTCCTCCCATAGTGTATTGCCTGATGTCAAGCAATGGCCGCCAGTGGTGCCACCGACGGGCTGCTGATCCAGCCTACCACAATAGCAGTCTTGGGCAGTAACTAGTTACTAGTAACGCGTTGCCGGTAACTAGTCACTTTTTTCAGTAACTTGTAACTGTAACACGTTACTGCTTAGTGGAAATAACTTGTAACTGTAACAGAGTTACCATTTTTTTAGAGTAACTGTAAAAAGTAACGTCGTTACAGTTACTTCTCAGATTTATGGGAACACGACCACCAAATCGCCTTGCAACTCGTGAGAGAGTCCCAGGCCCTGGTGCGGGAAGGGCAGAGCAAAAACTGCTGCAGGAAACGTCTGGAGCAGGAGGGAAAAAGATAAAAATAAAAATAAATAAATTTTGTTTGACAGTGCACGGCAAAGCTAGTCCCGCCAACTGGGAGGATGGCGACGTTTGTGTCCGTACCAGCCATGTATGCCCACAGCGCACGGAGATGTAACAAAGCGCGGCATCTTTAAAGGGGCACTGACACATCAAAATCATATTTTTTTTATTATCCGAAACGATTGAAAACGATGCCGGGACATTACCCTCAAAATTTGAGATTTGGGAATTCAGTATTCGTGAAGTAAAAAAACAATTTCCAAATGCCGAATTCGAAGTTCCCGCGCGATCGGCGCCGGTGCCTTGACGTCAAAAATCGCGGAGACCTGAGAGTCGACTTCCTTTCACCACTCCCTGCTGTTGCCATGGCGACCCAAAGCGAGGAGGAAAGGAGCGAGCGCCCGGCGTTGCGGCGAACCGGTTTTGAGCGGTGTCGCCTGTTTTCCGTTGGAGGATACAAATCCAGGAGACGGCACCACAACGAACTCCCGATTTTTGGTATTTCAAAAAGAAGGGCCGTAGTGCGTTCGCAATTGCGTTAAAAAACATGTTTTAGGATTGCCGTAATTAAATGTTATAGAGATGTCGCCTACAAAGCTTCTAAATTTCCTGATTTTTGACGTCACCGATCAAAAGAAGCGAGGAGGCGAGACGCGGGAAAATCAAACGCCAAAAATAAAAAGGAGCGCGCGCGCGCAGGAAAATTTTTTTTCGCGATGCGGTTTTTTTTGCGTGTCTATGACTGCAACTTGCATCGTTTTAGACAATAAAAATAAATACGACCTTTGGGGTGTCAGTGCCCCTTTAAAGCATTTCTCTTTTCTTCGTCCCGCAGAGGAAGCGAGTGCTTTTTGCAGAGGACAGTTTTTGGTGTACCAACTAGCTCAACTTCAGCCTGTTAGACAGTTTTTGGTGATGGTCGCCCCAAACCCCCAGGCTTACGGGAGTCTTCTTGCCGCCAAGCATACATTTCCTTCCCCTCTAATTTGAATCGTCCACCTCCCAGATGCACTCTTGCGGAGTCTCGAATTCAAACCCGTTTTCTCTCCCTTCCTTTTTTTTTTTTTTTTTTTTACAACCCAATTGCTGGCCTTGCCTCCCGTCACCCACTTCTCCCTTCTCGGATCCTTTCACTTGAGAAAGAGTATCTGCTCGAAACGTCTCTGTCCTTCTGCTTGTTTGTCCGCATGTTTTTGTAATTGAAAGACCGCCCTTAGCTGGGACCAGGGGCACTTGGCATCAGTTGACTTATAGATATTCAAGTCGTGGGCTTTCCGGGTGGTCTCTTGTATTTCAGGTGGTGAAATAGAGGAGCAAGTTCGATCTCGTTAGGAAGCGACGGAGGAAAGGCAACAGCCGTTTGGAATTCCACGCGCAGTGATCGTCTGTACCTCGATCAGTGCTTATTTTGACGGAGGAATGTAGCCGCAACATTGCTCTCCAATTTTCAAGAAAAGCTTCGTGTTTTATGAAAGATTGTGGGCATGCAGTAGAAAACGATTTGACCGACGAGTGGATAAGAGTGGCATCAGAAGACATCTACGAAGCTGATTGCAAGGTAGGGCATATTATTATTGACTTCACATTTGCACGATTCATATTGCTTCAGTCCAATTTCGCCTCATAACAAAAAATTCGAAATTCGAATTGACCGATTGTAAACTGGCACCATGATTGGATATACACGAGATCTGGACGCGTGCCACTGTGTTCGTGTATACCTTATGGTGGTCGCTCTTATTTTAATGTTTATATAGACCAGCTATCTGCTACGCTAAAATTTTGAAATACTAAAGTCTCCTGTAATTTTTCCAACCAAAAGACTCCAATTCTTTATCATATAGTGGATTTACTCGGATACTGCCTTAAATTATGATCTGAGCTATTCATAGTAAAAATTGAAACAGGAAGAACCAAATATATTAATATATATTATTACAGATTCACTACCGTGAACAACACAATGTTTTATAAGAAATCTATGCTAATTTGAAGGCATATAAAAGAATGTTCATTTTGAATGTTTTCTCATGTTTCTTTGTAAAGTAACGACGAAGTAACGGCGTCACTTTAGAGAAGTAACTAACTATAACAGGTTACTCTTTCAATTTTGTAACTGTAACAGGGTTACTTTTTTTACTTGAGTAACTGTAACACTGTTACATTTTAGCAGTAACGTGCCCAT